CGGGGAGAGCGGGGAGCCGGGGAGAGCGGGGAGCCGGGGAGAGCGGGGAGCCGGGCGGCAGTGACCCGGGCTGAGTCCGAGCCCTCCGCAGGTCCGCACCACCATGTCGTATATGCTCCCGCACCTCCACAATGGCTGGCAAGTGGACCAGGCCATCCTTTCCGAAGAGGACCGGGTCGTGGTCATCCGCTTCGGGCACGACTGGGACCCGACGTGCATGAAGATGGACGAGGTTCTGTACAGCATCGCCGAGAAGGTGCGCTGTGCTCGCCCGCGGGCCCGTGTCTGTCTGCTGTTTTCCGTAGGGCGCGTCTCGGTGGAGAGTGACAGGGCGAGGAAGAGGTCCACCCCCCGGGGGATGGCCACGCCACAGTCCCTTTGTCCTCCTGGGATTTGGGGCACCCGCGCAAGCGCGCCCAGCTGATTTTCAGGCCGCTGGGGCCCGGTCTCCAACTCGTGTCCTGCCCGCGTGGGATCCACCTGCTTTAAGCACGCCACCTGCTGGCCCGGAGATTGCCTGCGGAAATGAAGAGTAAAAGTAACACGAACATTGAAACTATCCTTTTTTCTTTTTCTTCTATAGAAAGGGTGGACTAAAAAACTAACTGCTTTCCTAAAAGGTAACAGGTGTAAGGATATGTTTTCTATGTGTGAGAGAAAGCTTTTCTTTTTTTTTAAAGTTTGCCATATGCTGGTGCAGGTGGGAGGTCAGTGAGGTTGCGGGGAGAAGGGGGGACACCGCAGGCCCTTCTCCATTCTCCTCTCAGGACTTGGGGCATGCGTGGATACGTGCCTAGTATGTTTTTCAAGCCACTGGGTTGTAACTTGAGCTGTGCGTTTAGCATGTGTGATCCTACCACCTTGTCCTCACCGACCGCTGGCCCAGGGCGACTGCTTCACTGTTGTTCCTTCCCTCTCCCTCCCTGAGGCCTCGGAGTTACAGCAGGGGCTTGGTGTTCCCGTCTGAGGAGTATTTCTCCTAGTGCCCAGGGAAAGGCATCCCAGAGACTCCTCCTCAGTAGGTCTCAGTGGTCCAGAAACACTTGCAGAAGCTCCCCGTGCCCCCACCCTGGTGCCTTCTGATGTGGGGCCACACTACAAACCCTCCTGGCGTCTGGGTCAGAGCGCGGATGCTTCATTCTCAGCGGTTTCCCAGCCCCCTCCACCCAGGCACCCAGGACCTGAGGAGATGCCCAGGGGATCCCAGAGCATCTGGCCTCCCAGCGAGGTCCTGCCAGCCAGGGCCAGGCAGTGCGCAGTACAGGCAGGGCGGGGTGCTAACCCTCTGCCCAGACTGGGAAGTGACCAGTAGGGACTCTGGGCTGTCACTGCAGGCCGCTCTGCTGCCTCACGCCAGCCCTGTCCAACAGGGGGTCACAGCGGGGAGGCAGACTTGGGGTCCACCTGAGTGGGGCTTGGCCACATTTGATGCTTGCTCATTACTCAGTCACAGACCAAGTAGCCACGTGCGACCAGGGACACACACTTGGGCATCGATGTTGTGAATAAGGACGGTTTAATTGTAGGGCTCCCCTTTTTTTTATAAAAAGAATTACTTTATTTACCTTATTTATTTGTTTATTTTTAATTTAATCAGAGAGCAACAGAAAGTGGGGGGGGGATGGGAAAACAAGCTGCCACGTCCAGGACTCAAACCATGATTGGCCATGTGGGAGCCCAGCGCTCTTAACCACCATGGTATCTGCCAGCCCCAAGGCTCACGTTTGAGTATTTTCCACTGGTCTTTTAAATTTCTCTCGCTTTAGTTCAAAATTTTGCATACTTTTTTTGTTTTTGTTTTTGAAGTTTTTGCCATAGCACGCGTGCACGTGCCAGGGAGAGACGGAGGGGGCATGAGAAATCACCTCTGGGGGGATAACCACACTGCACCCCCTTCTCCTCCATTCTCGCGATGTTGGGCACGCACACGCACGTGCCTGATAGGATTTTCAAGCTGCTGAGTCCATGACTTTGAGCCTTGGTCTGTCATGTGGGAATCCTGTGCCTTAGTCCCCATGACACCTGCTGGCCCTTCTTGTTTGTGTTTTTTTTGTTGTTGTTTGTTTTTTAATTTAACTTACAGTTTATTTTTTAAAATTATTTTATTTAACTTTGTTTATTTATTTTAATTTGACCAGAGAGGGACAGGGTGAGAAAGAGAAACAGAGAAAGTGAGAAAGCAGGCCACCAGGTCCAGGTCTCAAATTGCAGTTGGCCATGTGGGAGTTCAGCGTCCTTAGCCACCACACCACCTGCCGGCCCCATCATGTTTGTGGAGGGTTTTTTTTTTTGAGAGGATTTTTCTATAGGGCACATGCGCTCGCCAGAAAGACAGAGACAGAGAGACAGAAAGCAAGAAATCACCCCCCAGGGGGATGGCCACGCCGCAGTCCCTTCTCCTCCATTCTCCTCTCGGGATCTTGGGCACGCACGCACACGCGCCTGATGTGAGTTTAAGCCTCCAGGCGTCGGAAACCATGGTTGACTACGTGGGAGTCCAGCGACACAGCCATTACGCCAACTGCTGGGCCATTGTTGTTTTTATTTTTTATTTTTTTTGAGAGGTTTTTCGCTATAGAGTGTGTGTGCTCGCCAGACAGACAGAGAGAGACATAGAGACAGAGAGCGAGAAATCACCCCCCCAGGGGGGATGGCCATGCCGCAGTCCCTTCTCCATTCTCCTCTCAGGATCTTGGGCACACACACACATGTGCCTGGACATGAGTTTTAAGCCACCGGGTCCAGGACGCCGAACCACAGTCAACTACGTAGGAGTCCAATGACACAGCCATTACGCCAGCTGCTGGTCCGTTTTTATTTATTTTTTTTTATGAATGATTTTTTTGCTGTCAGATGCATGTGCTTACAACACCACAGAGACAGAGATCAAAAGCAAAGAGTCACCCCCGGGGGCATGGCCACATTGCAGTCCCTTCTCTGTTCCCCTCCCAGGACTGTGGGCACATGCACATGTGGCACGGGGGTGAATTCTAAGCTGCCGGGTCTGGGACTCAAACCGTGGTCAGCTCCATGACAACTGAACCATTTGCTCTTTGTTCATACCATGTGTTTTTTACTTTTACAGAATGAAAGCCTAACTGACCTGTGACTTTAGGTTTTTTTTTCTCTGATCTCTTTTAGGTTAAAAATTTTGCAGTTATCTATCTTGTGGATATTACGGAAGTACCTGACTTCAACAAAATGTATGAGCTGTATGATCCGTGCACCGTCATGTTTTTTTTCAGGTACGTTAAAACAGTTAACATGAGTGAGCGTTGTTTGGAAGTTTAATGTAATGACAACGCCTTCTTTTTATTTGGGAGAAAGTCAATTATGTAGCACCAATATGATTCTTTAAAATGACTTCAAAGTAACAATTTCAGTTTTAGCATTTATTCTATAACAAATTACCCTTTGAAGTAACCTTATCCGGAACCCTAAGTGAAGTGTAGTTAAGTGGAAGACACAGTCTCTGGCTTTTAAGATACCTTTAAATGCAATCTTTGGAAAATGCTATAAATGACGCACTCCTTAAACATAACATCAGTGGCTTCAATATTCTTTTTGATACCCAAATGGAAAACCTGAACTTAGTTGCTTTGTTTGCAAATACATGATTATTTTATCAGCTCAGAAATCCTTTTGTGGAGATTTAATCTGGAAGAAATTTCCATTTGGCCTTTCTTTCACTTGTCAGAATTTCGTGTTTTGGGACCAGCAGTTAGCATAATGGCTATGTCGCTGGACTCCCACATAGTCGACCACGGTTTGAGTCCCGGACCTGGTGGCTTAAACTCATGCCGGGCACATGTGCGTGCGTGCCCAAGATCCTGGGAGGAGAATGGAGGAGAAGGGATTGTGGCGTGGCCATCCCCCCTGGGGGGTGATTTCTTGCTTTCTATCTCTCTCTGTCTTTCTGGTGAGCACACATGCCCTGTAGCAAAACAAAACAAAACAAAAAACCTCTCCAGTAAAAGAAGGAAAAAAAAAGAATTTTGGGGTTTTTTTGTTTGTTTGTTTTTTGGTTTTTTGGGAGAGGTTTTGCTATAGGGCGCTTGCGCTCGCCAGAAAGACAGAGAGCGAGAAATCACCCAGGGGGGATGGCCACATCGCAATCCCTTCTCCTCCATTCTCCTCTCGGGATCTTGGGCATGCATGCACACGTGACCCGCATGAGTTTAAGCCACTGTATTCGGGACTCGAACCGCGGCTGACTACGTGGGAGTCCTGTGACAGAGCCATTATGCCACCTGCTGGTCCCTCACTTGTCAGAATTTCTTGCTGTAGTTCCTGTAGCACCTGGTGAAGAGCGGCGTACCCATGGAACTCCTCCAGGGTCAGAGCTCCGCCTGGTGGGAAGGCCTGCCTTGATGCCCGCACTGGCTCAGCTCTCACTTCAGCACCCAATGGGAGCCCAGTCTGTGGGGAGGTGTCTGGGCAGGGGTAGCTGGAGCCTTAGTTCAGGCCTACAGGCCCAAGGCCCTGCAGGCAGTGGCTGAGAGCCAGGCTTGCTCTGGTGGCTGCCAGTGCCTCTGGACCTCGTTGCTGTCTACCAAGATGTCTGCCTCTCTGCTCGCCCTCCACCCTCGCAGCCAGCACTTGGCATGCAGCAGCTTTGACGGGATCCCCCTAAGCACTCTCCGCCTTCCAAGGGGTCGGCTCAGCCACGGTCCAGGGTCATCTGGTACTCAGGGGCCTTCGCTGTGCCCACCGTCCTGGGTGGGCTGGCACTGAGACAGGCTCAAAGGTCCCTAGACTGGGAAGACATGTCAGCACTTGCTTCCTGAAGTCTCCCGTCTCTGAAGGTCCCCGTCTGCCGACCTGGGTGGCCAAAGGCCTCACCTCAGGACAGCATCCGCTAAAGGTCCACAGCTCCTCCTCCAGACATCAGGGCACGAGGTCGGTTGGGTGAGGGTCTTTGGGGTGGCTCGCGTCGCTCCCAGGCTCCACTGTGGGCTTGTCATAAAGAAGACGGCAGAGCTGGAAGGTGCCCTGGTGGAGCCACACTGAGAGCAGTTCCCCGGGAAGGGCCCGGGCTTGCATCCGGAGACTGCCATGAGAGTGCTGGGCACGCGTGTGTCTGGTCTGGGCCTCCTGAGGCTGGGAGTAGATCGTGGTGTCGAGGCCCAGTGGGGTGCTATCTCTGTCTCTTACTCGTGGAGTGAATAAATAAAACTTAAAAAACAAGAGTGGAAAGCGAAGGCCTCCACCCCACCACGGTGTGGCAGCTGGGCGTGTTCCCACCCAGAGTCCGTCAGCAGGAGCTGAGGAGGCCTCGTGGCAGATGCAGCACCGGGCAGGCCAGACCCCAGGGGCCACAGGAGCATGGGAGGGTATTGACAAGTTCAGTTCTGCACATGCTGAGTTTGAGAAAAGGCAGGATCAGAGACGAGTCTGCAGGTAGCAACCGAGAACGGGGCGACCCTCGAGGCTTCCAGCCCAGGGCTGTACTGGCTCTGTGCTCTCTCCTTTTCCCCAAGAGGAGGTGCAATCAGCGGTGTCCACCTTCCTCTGCTCGGTCCTCAGGCCCCTGGCCGTCGGGGATGATCGGGGAGACCCTCCGCTGGCAACCGAGGCAATGCTTCAGCTTTCCGGGTGCCACCCATTGGAGGGAGGCCTGAAGAACTCCTTTGTTCCTGTGACCGAGTGCTCTGGCTGTGTGACCCGGAGTGCTCTGGCTCTGTGACCCCCAGCGCTCTGGCTGTGCGACCCCCAGCGCTCTGGCTGTGTGACCCCCAGTGCTCTGGCTCTGTGACCCCGAGCGCTCTGACTGTGTGACCCGGAGTGCTCTGGCTCTGTGACCCCCAGCGCTCTGGCTTTGTGACCCCCAGCGCTCTGGCTGTGTGACCCCCAGCGCTCTGGCTGTGTGACCCCGAGCGCTCTGGCTGTGGTGACCCGGAGTGCTCCGGCTCTGTGACCCCCAGCGCTCTGGCTGTGCGACCCCTAGCGCTCTGGCTGTGACTATCTCCAGGTTTCAGGAGGGGTCAGCCAACTGCGCCCTCACCCTCTCTCTGCCTCGCATTTTGCAGCGCCTTCTGAATGTCAGTGTCTGTCTGGGGAGGCTGAGGGTCATTCCTTTTGTGAACAGCTTCATCCCAGCTTACCGCCCCCTCATTTCACTGTAAAGCAGCAAGAAGAAACCAGGCAGCACCTTCAGGACGTTGCAGGGAAATCCCAGCTAGTGTCAGAGCCCAGAGCTCGTGAGTCCTGCCTCTTAGAGAACGGCGGACGTGGCGTCCTCGGCCTTACGTAGTGGGTCCCCTGTCCTGCACCAGTAATGAGCTCCCTTTGCCCTGACCAACAGCGGGAACGTCCCTGTTTCTCCTGACAGCCCATTTGCGTTAATTCTGCAAGGCTCTTCAGGGGACAGGGAGGACCACTTCTGGGGCCTGGCGGGCGGGGAGGCTGCAGGGACACCCTCAATGGCAGTGCGGTGCTTCATGTATCTGCACACGTCTGGATTGATGCTGTGCTGGGAAAGGAGGCAGACCCTCCTGCTTCTGTGACCCAGAGTCTCAGGCATCTTAGGGTAGTGCTGACTACCCTCAGTGCACGGTCGTTCCCGAGGACACACCAGGGGTTCAGGAAGGTCAAGGAAAGCACTAATGTGGATCTGTGGGTTTCACATACATTTGCACCAAGATAATTGGTTTCATTCTTTTTTTTTTTTTTTTTAAGAGATTTTTGCTATAAAGCGTGTGTACTTGCCAGAGACATACAGAAAGTGAGAAGTCACCCCCCGGGGGGATGGCCACACCACAACCCCTTCTCCATTCTACTCTCGGGATCTTGGGCGCACACGCTCATGTGCCTGGTGTGGGTTTTAAGCTGCTGGGTCCAGGACGCAAACCGTGTTCGACTAGAGTGCTCTCTTCCATGTACTCCCTGCCTGGGCTGGGTAGCATGTTGGACAGGACAGGACAAGGCCTGCTCTCCTGCTCTGTCTGATGAAGAAACTAGGAAGTGAAGTAGCAGGTGGAAGTGGGTGAGGCTGCGGGGCCGGCCTCTGCCCAGACGTGAGATGCTGAAGGAGAGCTTCTGGAGCAGACGGGCGGCAGGGCAGGTGTCTCCGAGCTCGGGTGCCTTCTGACAGTTTTTAAAAGAGCATTTAGGTGGTTTCCTTTTTTTTTTTTTTTTTTTTTTTTTAAGTGTGTCTCTTCTGACACACGCTTACTGGAAATAGAGGAGGTAGGGAGAGGGAGCGGGCACCCCTCAGCAGGGCGTGGATTTTCCAGCCTTTGGGATTTGAGACACGCAGGCACATGTACCCAACATGTCTGGGTCGAGATTCGAACTCTGGGCGGCCATGTGGGGTCCAGCTGCAGCAACCGCAGGCTGCCGGGCTGGCTTCCAGTCTCAGTGCTGGCCACAGGGCTCCTTGCCTTAAACGATGCTAACAAGCCCGGGGAGCACGGCAGTTCCTGCAGACGCTCCCTGAAAGCCTTCTCCTTGCAGGAACAAGCACATCATGATCGACTTGGGCACGGGCAACAACAACAAGATCAACTGGGCCATGGAGGACAAGCAGGAGATGGTGGACATCATCGAGACCGTGTACCGCGGGGCCCGCAAGGGCCGCGGCCTGGTGGTGTCCCCGAAGGATTACTCCACCAAGTACAGATACTGAGCTGCTGTGGGGCCCATCCCTGCGGCCCACACCGGGAACAACCCTGTCTGCTCCGTAGACACGGCCCTGCCGCCCATGCTGGCCCCTCCTGTCCCCTCGGAGTCCAGTCCTGGCGCTCGTCCTGCAGGGTGGCTACACGCTGCTGGTGGTGACTGGGTTGGCCAGGGCTGGCACAGCCAGGAGTGGCCACTCGGCGGCTTGGACAGAGAGGCCCCCCACGATGCAGTTGGGGTGAAACTGGCAGGCCGACCGACTCCAGCAGGCCACAAGGGTCTGCGAGGGTCTCCTGGCTTCTGGCCACGTTTGGTGCGCCCTGTCGTGTGGACGCTTGGCCCTGGTTTCCACCTCCCCCCAGCAGCATCCTCCCCGTGCATGTCTGTCTCATTTCCTCCTTGTGGGGCCCCCACTGCCCAGCATGACCACAGTTTAGCCGATTATGCCCTTAGCGAGCCTGTGTCCGGAAGGGCCCTCTGGGCACCGAGGGTAGGGCTTCGTGTGGGTCGGCCTCAGCTCGGTCCCTGTGGAGCCCAGAGGTGTCGCATTTGGGTGTGAAAGCAGCTGAAGAAACAAGGACTGACAGGCCTTCTCTTTGGGAACAGGAGGGCCACTTACTCTTCCCGAGGTAGCATCTGACGGGCTGACCAGGGTGCGTTCACAGGGTCCCGGCCCTTCAGTCCATATGGTGCAGGGTCCGGGTTCAGGCTCGGGGCTCTCCATGGGTGTGGTTGGGGCTGCCCATCTCAGCCCAGTCACACTTGCACCGACAGGCGAGCGAGTGGTGTGCTGGGGTCGGCCTTCATGTGCCCGGAGTCCCCGTCTGCCTCAGACCCAGGTTCTCCTGCCCCTGAGGAGAGGTCCTCTGTGCCTCAGCTTTGCCGTTTGTACGGGGATGTTGTCTTCAGACCCACACCCACGTTGGTTCACACACCCCTGCTGCGGGGGCGCAGTGGGTGGGTGTCACTGCTGCTGCTAGGTGAGTAAATTTTATGTACGCTGTACAAATGAGTGCTTTCAAAGTGGACTTATAAGTACAGATCTGCAGTTGAGTCTCCCAGCATTAATCTCCCCGGAGTACAGTGGGGACACGATTCCCCACCATGGAGCACGGTTGGGAGGGATCACAGTAGCCTGGGTGCAGGCTGCACGGCTGTGGACAGTACACAGAAGAGGAGCCTCCACTGGGTCTGGGTGTGCGGTGGGCACTGCGGCATGTCCATACAGTGAACTGTTCAGGTGTGAAGAAATGAAAGGTTGGCCCCTGAGCACAGAGGAGAAGCTGGATCCCACGTGGCCAGCTGAAGTTCCAGCCTGTGGCTTGCACGGCTCTGTGTGTGTGTGCGCACGCCCAAGATCCTGACAAGATGGAGAATTGGAAGAAGTGTTGCGGCACGATCAGGCGCCTCGGTGCTCTCCATGCCCGTGCCCCTATGGCATGAAGAGACTGGGTGCTGCCCTACGCTGCACCAGGTGTAAGCCTTGAAACAGGCCAGCTGAGGGAGCAGGTCTACCCTGGACAGGGCGGGAAGGACATACGGAGCCGGCAGCTTACGGGTAGGATTGTTTGATGCTGAGGTGGTGGGAGTGTCCTAGAACGGGTAGCTTCTCAGCTCTTGATTATTCCAAAACACAACAGATGCTATAGTTGGGGGAATTGTGTTTCACTGGTCACGCCAGTTAACCAGAAAAGGATAAGCAAAAATTTACATTTGGCGTTCATCAGTTTACTGTATGTGTATTACAAACGTGTTGCATACCGTATTAGCACACTTGGACTGCCCTAACAAAAGCAAGCCCATTTTCACAGTTCTGCAGCCTGGTCTAAGATCAGACTTCCAGCCTGTCTGACTTCTGGCAGTCTTCCTGGCTCCTAGGTGCGTGTGCAGAGCAGGGGCAGGTTCTCTGGCACTTCTCATAAGAACATTAGCCCATTGTCCAGGGCCCACACTGGAGACCTCACTTAACTGTAGGTGTTCTTGTCTTTCTCCAAAGCAAGAGGCACTGTGGGCTGGCTCCGGCCCTGGAGTCGGGGATGAGTCAGACCACAACATAAACTGCAACAAGCCTGTTTACATTCGACTTTTGAAAAAATACATGTTTGGCCAGGGGGACATGTACTCCATAGACAGGAGGGGTGGGGAGAGGGAGAGAGCACCCCCAGCAGAGCGTGGTTACCCCGCAATCCTCCCTCTGCCATCTCTCCTGCAGGATTTAGGCACACGTGCACAGCTGCCCAGAGTAAGACTGGCTCTGTGGGATCTGGCTCCTTTACCACCAGGTCACATGGCAGGCCCCACACTGGTCATAACCTTTTCCCTGGAACCTTGTGGCCACAGTAGACAGGGCAGTTGCATTTACTATGCTCTGGGCTATGCACTCTCTAGGTCTCGTGTGTACCTGCCGTCCACCTCCCCCAAGCCAAGTGCTCACAAGCAGTTTTCTCAAGCCTATACACCCACCTGCCAGGTAATATTTTGCAGAGGGAAAAAGTTTTTTTTAAGGAATTATTTAACTTAAGTAGATGAGAGGGACAGTGAGAAAGCAAGCTGCCAGGTCCGGGACTTGAACCATGGTGTGGGAGTGTCCAGCACCTTAACCACCACATCACCTGCGGGCCCCAGAGAGGGAAATTAATGTTCAGAGTGCTGCAGGTCACGGCCACCAACAACGCAGGGGCTGGCCCAGCTCGGTGGCTACCAGACTGGCCTGGGTGCAGCATGCTGCTCCAGTCTGGAGCTTCCGGCAGTCCCCGATAGTGGGCGGTGCGGCTGTCTTCCCACTACCTTTCGGGAGCCCGGGAGCTGTCTAGGCGACAGGCAGTGAGTCCGGAGCTAGGGAGGCGGAGCTGGCGGCTGTGCACGGCATGGGCAAGGACAGCACCGGCATCTGGGAACGTCAAACAACCTGCCAGGGTACTGGCACCGCTCCAGGGCCCGCCTCGGGGTGCCCCAGGACTGGCCCTCCTGACAGATTGCTCTGGCAATCGAGATCCGGTGTAAGGGCGCGAATTCCGGCAGCAGCCGGCGTGGTCGGCGTGGGTGCCCCTGGGGCGTCCGCGGTCGCAGCACCTGTGCCGAGTGGTGAGGGGTGAGTTTCCCGCTGGCTGCGGCGGCTGCCAAGCTCACCTACCCCGGAGACCACCCGGCCTCATTCTCTGTTATGGTAATTACAGAGAGGAGTGGCGGGGGGCCGCCTTCCGCGGTCCACCCTGAAGCTCTTTCACGTTGTCCTGGGCGGCCAGGGCGCCACAGCCCGGTCTCCTCTTACACGGGGTTTCCAACACACCTGCGTCAGGCAGGTTTTCAAGCTGCGGAGAGGAGGGTGTGCACCCCTGCTGGGGGCCAGCCTCACGCCATCGACTTAGGGATCTGTTAGGGAAATACCCAACTCTGCAAAAGTGATCATGAATGTGGTTTATTTCCAAGCATGAATGTGCAAGACTTGGGCCTGAGAGGAGGTGAAAACGTGCCTCGGGGTGATCAGGTGCAGGCGCTCCTCCCTTGATTCTGAGAGAATTGGGTGAAGAGCTTTCTGTTCCCTGGCTCAAAGAGGCAGGGCGCGTGGAGGTGGGACTTGTAGGTTTGGGGAAGGAATTACAGGTCAGGGGGCTTGCGTCCAGCCACAAGACGCTGTCCCAGGGCCGGGAGGTGGGAAGAGTTCTGTTACCAGTGAGTCACAGTGGTGTTGGTGATGGCAGCAAGACACCCAGGGACGCTGGGCAGGAGGATGTAGGAGGGCTTGTGCTTCAAACGGGCCATGTCCGTGGGCCTGACTCCCTCCAGGCCCTCTGGTAGGGATTTTAGAAATAGGAAAAAGCAGTCAGACTTCTGTGCTCAGATCTTGGACTGCTGCTGACTCCGCTGTCGTTTGTGGCACTCTATGCTCCTCATGAAAAGCTCTGACGGGAATGTCGCTAGCGGCCTGCCGAGATTCTTACCTTCTTGGGCAATACGGTGCTGTTTTATTCACTCACTCACTCCTTGGGTGCGGGAGAGAAGCCACCAGAGGGGCCCCAGCACTGCCACCTGCCTCAGCCTCCAGCCTCCAGCCAGCCCAGGTCCCGTGCAGGCGTGAGCCGTGCGCAGGGAGATTCTGGACTGGGACCTTCCATGAGGGGCCGCCTCAGAGAGCTTTTTAATTCTTTCTTTCTTTCTTTTTTTTTTTTTTTGAGAGGGTTTTCCCATAAGGCACATGCACTCACCAGAAAGACAGACAGAAAGTAAGAAATCACCCCCCAGGGGGGATGGCCATGCCGCAATCTCTTCTCCTCCATTCTCTTGGGATCTTGGGCACGCAGGCACACGCACCTGGTGTGAGTTTAACCGAGTCTGGGAGTTGAACCGCAGTTGACTACATGGGAGTCCAGCGACATAGCCATTATGCCAACTGCTGGTCCCTGTTATTGTTATTTTAAAGCTTGCTTTAGGGCATGTGTGATCATCAGACAGGGAAAGTGAGAAAGCAAGCCGCCAGGTTCAGGGACTCGAACCGTGTCAGCCACCTTAGCCACCATGCCAGCTCCCACTCGGCGAGGTCCTTAGGGCGCCATTCAGGGGTCAAGCTGGTCTCCCGCACCGCGCTGTGCTGTCCTCCCTGGCTTTGGTGAAGTGGCTGCAGTTCGCATCCCCACAAGCACACGTGGGTGCCGTCCCTTAGCTCTGGAGTCTAGGAGTGGCTCCTGGCCCAGCATTGTGCCCAGCTGTGCACATGGCGTGAGCAGTAGACATGGCCGCCCCAGGGGGACTCGGTCCAAGGACCACAGAGGACCGTGTTATCGTTGGTGGCCAGCTGGCGCGCTGAGGTCGGGTCCGAAGGCAAGTCCAGCGGTGTGCTCCCGAATCGTCTCCACCCTGAGACCAACCTGAGGGGCTACTGGATGGGTGGGCAGCAGCTTCCAGGGGGCTGCTCTGCAGGGTCTCTGGCAGGAGCTGGGCAGGCACGGCGGGGAAGCCTTGTTGGGCTCACCTCAGTTCCTGAAAGGTGTTCTGCACCCAGGGTAGAAGTCTGGAGAGGCTGGAGGAGATGAGGGCATTGCAGTCCGCGGTGACCACAGCGATGTGCTGGGGGACAAGAAGGGCCACGAGGGCGGTGGGACTCCCACTGGTCAGCCTGGAACCCGAGACGGGGCAGCGCCAGAGACGGGGCAGCGCCAGATCCGGGGCAGGCGATCTCCCCTCCCTCACACACACACACACACACACACACAGAGGCACTACACACCTCCCTCACACACGCGCACACACACACACAGAGGCACTTCTCCCCTCCCTCACACGTGTGTGCACACACACACACGAGCTTCTCCCCCTCCTCACACACACATCATGGCATGGCAGGAGGGGCTGGGGCACTCCCAGTCCTGGGGGGGACTTCTCATGTTCTTGCACCAGCTCTATTGTGAGTAAAATTCTTTTAAAAAAATATCTCTAATGGTCAGACAAGAGACACAGTTGAAAGCGAATAACCTGGTTGCATCTTTCAGAGTATACTCTGGAGTGGCAGGTGGCACAGTGGTTAAAGCACTGGACTCCCACATGGCTGACTGCAGTTCAAGCCCCAGACCCTGTGTTGTGTTTTGAAGACCATGCTGGGCACATGTGCATGTGTGCCCACAACCCCATGAGGAGGATGGAGGAGAAGGGATTGCAGCATGGCCATCCCCCTGGGCGTGATTTCTCACTTTTCCTCTGTTTCCAGTGAGCACACGTGAACCTACAGCAATAAACGGAAAAAGCAAGTATTATGGGGCGGCAGGTGGCATGGTGGTCAAGGCGCTGGACTCGCACGTGGCTGACTGTGGTCTGGCCTGGACCTGGTGGCCTGCTTTCTCACTTTGTCTCCCTTGTTGTAACTCTTGCTCTGTCCCTCTCTGGTCAAATTTTATAAATAAATAAATAAATAAATAAAGTTAAATAATTTTTAAAAACTGTATAAAATAAAAACAGGTATTGATATTATATAAAACCAAATGATTTTCTCGAAGGTGTCCGTGTTTGAGTGACTAAATACTGTGATGCTAAATACTAGCCTGAAAAAGGAGATTGGCTTCGATTTCTTTCCAAAGATTTCATCTTGGTAAACTTTTTTATTTTTAAAGTATTATTTAATCTTTAAATTTTAATTTAATTAAATTAATTTATTAATTAATTAATTTTTTTACTATTCTTCAGTTTAACCAGAGAGAGAGAGAGGGACAGTGAGTCAGTGAGCCGCCAGATCCAGGAGTCAAACTGGTCAGCCATGTGGGGGTCCAGCTCCTTGACTACCACGTCACCAATCAGCCCCTCAACTTCACGTTTTATTCAGAAAGCAGTGAGGGGCCAGCTAGTGGTGTGACCGAGCAGTTGGATCCCACGTGGGGACTTCACAGTGAGGGTCCCAGACCCACAGGGAGGGACAGGGCAGGCACGTGCACATTCCCAAAATCCCTCAGGTAGGAGGGTGGCTCCTCATCCCCCAATCTCAGCAACAACAAAAAAAGTTGGTATATTTTGATAGTCTCAAAGTTTTCATTTTAGTTAATAAGTTAATAAAGCTTTTTTCCTTTTCTACTTAATTAAAACGCTGAGTTTATAAACTCTTCTGTTACTGATGAGGATTAAAATCTGTTTTACTTTAATTCAAATACCCACCGTAGTTTCTGCTAAAATTACTATCACTGCTAAGATGCTTTGAGATTTTTCACATAATCAAATGGAACTGTAATGATTCCATTTTTATTAACTTTTTCAGAGGTTTTTGCTATAGCTATAGGGTGCATGTGCTTGTCAGAGAAACAGAAAGGAAGTGAGGCCTCTCCCTCTGGGGGATGGGCCTGCCGCACTCCCTTCTCGCCCTCCTCCCTGGGTTTTGGGCACACACACTCCCTTCTCGCCCTCCTCCCTGGGTTTTGGGCACACACACTCCCTTCTCGCCCTCCTCCCTGGGTTTTGGGCACACACACTCCCTTCTCGCCTCCTCCCTGGGTTTTGGGCACACGCGCTCACGTCATTTCAAGCTGCTGGGTTTGGGACTTGAACCACGGTTGACCATGTGGGAGTCTGGCCCCTTAACCACTATCCAACCTGCTGGCCCCACTATCTTAACTTTAAATCACCAAGAACTCTGAATCTAAGTGGTGTAAATTTAAAGCTTTGTATTAAGAGAAACACACCCGCTGGCAAGAGCTCTGAGTGCCTTCGGGGCTAGTAGCCACCCTGGGTAATTCCTCCTGGCCTTACTTACAACAGCACAAAAGTAGGAAATGATTCCAATGTTCAAGGGAGTAGTTAACCCTTAAAGTGCTTACACTAGCACAGCGAGCCAGCCCTGATGCCAGTGGGCAAAGCAGCCAGATGTCACAGGCTGACAGAGCTTCCAGTTCCAGCACCGTCATTTGAGAAATGTGCCAGCTGTGCGTCCTGTCCAAATTCCCGAGAAGAGAAGGGATTGCAGTGTGACCATCCTCTCTGGGGCTGATTTCTCACTTTCCCTCTCTGTCTCTGTCAAGTGTACAGGCTATATGGCAAGATCTTTTTTTTTTTTTTTTTTTTTTTTTTAAGGGTTTTTTTTTTAGGGTGCATGCGCTCACCAGAAAGACAGAGAGAGAGAGACAGAAAGCGCGAAATCACCCCTCATGGGGGATGGCCACACCACAATCCCTTCTCCATTCTCCTCTTGGGACTTTGGCATGCACGCACACGCACCTGGCATGAGTTTAAGCCACCGGGTCCAGGACTCGAATCACAGTCAACTACATGGGAGTCCAGTGACATAGCCATTACGCCAACTGCCAACTGCTGGTCCCCATATGGCAAAAATGTAAAAAAAAAAAAAAAAAAAAGCACTTCCAAGGAACCATGAGCATGTTTCAGTTGGTATATTTAGAAAAAAGCACTTGGAAATACATTTTAAGAAAAAGATTTATTTAATTCCATTTGTTATTATTTTTTAACTTGACCAAACAGAGACAGAGCAAGAGAGAAAGAGAAAGTGAGAAAGCAAGCTGCCAGGCTGGGACTCGAACCGTGGTTGGCCATGTGGGAATCCGGCCCCTTTAACCACTACGCCACCTGCTGGCCCCAAGAAAATACATTTTATTATTCCTAAAGGTTTTCCACAGAACAGAGATAGCATTTCCCACAGTGAGCACGAAAGGTGGGCAGGCACGCTGTTCCTCCAGACCTTACCCCTGGTTCTCGAGCAACGTCCCCGATCCCGGCCTGCACCATTAGGCTGTCCACATTCTTCTGCAAGTCCTCGATGCGGCTCCCCATCTCTTCCAGTAGCGTGTTAAGGATGGCACACGTGAACTGGGGCACAGAGTAGCCAGAACGACATGTTCAGAGACCCTGCCCAACCACCTGTGAGGGCACAGTTTGTTCGAGCTCCAAACCAGTAACCATAATGGAAAGGGCACTTCTCAGCAGCCTCCCCGTGGCTTCCTCAGCTCGAGGAGCCACCCAGAAGTCAGGAAAGCTTCCAGGGCAGGGCCTTTCCTCACTGTCTTTAAGGGACGCGCCTAACTTCGACGTCAGCTTGGGCTGGGCCACTCCCGGGCACCAGTCGCCCTTACTGGGCCTGCTCAGACTGGAGACCAGCTCCTAATTCTGTCCCACCTGGTGCTTCTAAGATGGCAGGGAGCTGACACAGTTCCAAGGGAAGGCGGTGGGAGCTGGCCCTCTGTGGGGCCCGACTGGCCTGTGAGCCAGCGCAGCCGGGGCAGGTGTGGGTCCACCTGTGACCCTGGCTCTCCTCCGCCTTGTCAGGACACCCGCTGCTGCTGACCGGTCACTAACACGCCATGCCACACATGCTCCGAGTGGACCCAGGGCCCAGCAAATGTGACAGTACACGGCTAGGCCTTCCCTGGCCTGATGACGCTGTCCAGGAAAGGATATTTCTGAGGTTCAGGGTTGCAGTCAGAGCCTGGAAATGTTCCTGAAGGTCCTGAAATAGAGCCTCTGCCTGGAAAATGAACGTGGGGACCAGAAAGTAAATCCGTGGTGGGCTAGGACATCCCCAAACGCGGCCCAACTGTGCTTGACAGAGGTGCCAAAGGTGCCAAGCCCTCAGCCACAGGGAAAGGAAACCCCAACACCGCTGGAACAGAGAGCTACCAGCAGCCCTCCCTCCCTCCACACGACCGGCATCCGAAGGAGAGAGCCGGACTCGCCAGCTGAACTGGAAACCACCCCCGGGCCGGACACGGACGGCCTCCCCTCACCGCTGGGCAGGCGGCCTCGGAGTGGCAGCGTTTAGCCCTTTCAGAGGTCGCCTCTGCCCTGGCGTGTCCACTGCCAGCTGATACTGCGAGGAGGCGCAAGTTCCCGCAGCTTCCTCGCCGCCGGCGCCCCAGCCTGCAGCGCGCCTTGCGGACGAGAGGGCAGACCCGGCGCTGAGTCACCGACCGGGCAGCGCCCCGCAGGGCCGGGCTGGGGGCGGGGGCACCCCTCAAGGGCCCCCAGCCATCTGACACCCACTCCACCTCGTGGTCCTCAGCCCCCAGGGTCCCCAAGAAGTCCCCAAGCCCGGAGTCCGGGAAGGAGCGCCCGGCGC